CTACCGAGAAAGCCCTCTGGGAGGTTGCAGTCAGCCTAGATTTTATTGACTGAAGCAGATTCCTCCCATAGGACCGGAGTGCGTGGGGAGGATTTTAAATTACAGGAGAGTTGATGTTGATTGAACATAAGAAGAAACGGTCTTGACAGCAAGAGCAGTTTGGCAATGGAACCAAATGCCTAGAGAGGTGGTGGTTTACTGGGTGGGTGTGGGGGGTGCCGAGCGCACTAGGTGACACCCCACAGGAGGGGTGACACCTTGATGGCATCCTCCTACCTATGTGGTGGAGTGGTGAGTGTGCCTTTTGTGACTTTGTCACTGCTTGGCTCCCTCCCCAGGGAGGGATGTGAGGCAGCGGCAGAGAGGCAAGCTCACCCCTTGTCTCTGGCCCGGCTTCCTCCCTGGGGAGGGAACTGGCTAATGGCAAATCCACGAAAGACAAACAGCAGGGGACAGAACAGTGCTGCCATGCCCCCACCACATGCACTGGGTATCACCAAGGCTGGTGACACCACTGGTGGAGGTCTCTTCCTGTAAATATCTCCAAAAAGAGGCAGGACAGCTGCCTGCTGGGGATGCTTTAGCTGGAGATCCTACATTGAGGAGCAGGCCCCTTCCAGTTGTGATTCTATGATTCCATGAATTTCACTGCATTTATCGTAAGCAAGACTAAGGTTGAATTTAGCTCCTTGAGTTTCACGTGTCATTGTCACTTCTGTATAGCTCCTGCTTTCCCAAAACCAAAGGAATTGGTCAGGCCTTTTTTAAAAACTATACTAGCTCATGGACCACGTGGGGATCCCAGGCACCATGTTGCAGCTGCCCCCACTTTAAAAAATTCTGGCTGAGTTTTCAGCAAAGCATGTCAGAAACCACCCAAACTGCCACCCAGGTATGGCAACATGGCATACCCTTTCTCTCGTCCCCAATCCTCCCCCCCCCCCCCCTCAACACAACACACATATTTCAAATATCCATCCATCCATCCCTTCATTTATATCCTGCCTTTTTTGTCAACTGGAACTCAAGGTGGCTTGCAAAAGGCAGAAAATTACAGTGAAACCAGATATAGCTAAGAAATGTAGAAAAGGAGGGATTAAAACACTGTTAAACTAGCCACAGTTTTAAAATATTAAACCTTCTCTTGTTAGCTGTCAATTCCCAAAGGTTTGCTGGAATAGAAAGGTCTTAACCTACTTGCCACCGAAAAGACAGCAAAGAAAGAGACATCCTGTCATCCCTAGGGAGGTTATATTTCAGATGAATCCCAGAACCAGAAATTACATAGTGTCACTTCTAATTGCACCT